ATTGTGTAATTATAGTTTATTACATAGTAATGAAATCCTTTTAAATTCAAGTTTGTGCCAGTACGTATGGCAATTTTCTGTTTGTTTCAATGTGAGACAATGACAAAAAGAAAGTGTAAAAAATGTTTTTCTACTTGCTTTTTTTTACATTTTGCTCAAATACAGGTGAAAATATCTCCATTTGTGTTATAGATCAAGAGCAAATGTTTTAAACAAAATAAAAGCACACAATGTTTAAACCAAGCATATGAAAGGGTATTCCCGACCTGCGTTCTAGTATATCTAACGTCATGCTATCTGTTGTATAAATCAGAGCAAAACAATGTAATTCTGAATCACTGTTGAAGTGGCAGCGCTGCTGCTTCGTCAATATGAAAGTTGGACAGCATATATTAAGATGTTTCACTATGACTACAGCTCAACAATGTAAAATATATCAGTGAAAACAAAAAGTCAACTAGAAACTCAAAAGCAGCATCACACTTCCTTCCAACACTGCCGGTGTCCTCAATCTATTGAACCCTACGCTTATTATTAAGCTATAAATCTCCAGACTTATTATTTAATAACTGCTCTGATTCTAAAATGTAAGTTATATAGCTCAGTGAGTGAAGCCGGGGCTCACATACAGACTCGCTGATTAGCTGATTAATATGTTTACAATTATAAGCTATACTAATCAAATTATGTAATTACATATATATTACACAGTGAGTTACACAATGAATTACATTTACATTCGCTTTACAGTACTGTGCAAATGTCAGAGACCAGTTTAAATTCCAGTTTAACTTCCAGATAATCCATTTGCATAAAAAAGTGGAAATTTGCAAAACTAGAGCTCAAAAAATGGTTAACAGACACAGGGAAATTCCTAACAACCACCTGGAAGACCTGGTCGACCACCAACACTGCCCCCATCAGATAAACAGCACTTAAAGCTTTCATCTTTGAGAGAGAGGAGAAGTTCAAGCTCCACTTCTTGATTCAGATCCGAAAACATCCACAGTCCATCCTTCCACTGTGAGAAGACAACTCAGCGCTATGAGTCTGAAAGAATATTAGCTGTCAGGAAGCCATTATAAATGGGTAAAAGTGCAAATAACTCCTAGGACTGAACTTTGGAGGTGTGGAAAAATATCTTCTGCACATTTTAAAGCCTCGATTAATGTTTATTTGCTGAATTTAACATACTGGGGAAATAAAGGCTGTGCAAAAGTTATGGCACATTTTAAATTTCATTTTTAAAGTCAGCAAATAGAAATTATGCACTAAAATGTGCACAAAAAGGCCATATTGAAGTGTGTTCCCCATAGAGCAGGGGTGTCAAACTCAACCACTAAAAGGGCCATGTTAAAAAATCTTAGCATATCTGTGGGCCAGCTGGGTTTTGATTTCATTTCTATATTAACATTTTGCCATGACCCCAACTGACCATTGTGTTTATTCAAAATAGGCCAAAACTACAGCAACGGCAAAAATACGCGCTGAATACTTGAACGATACAAAAATCATTTTAGATCATTTTAAAACACAGATTGTTTTATATAAAACAATAGACTACAATAGCTGCAGATCACTGTTAAACCTCTTTAAATGTCCCCAGTGAACTGTAGGTTTTTTAAAACTGCCCATTTGCTTGAACCAGAACTATGTCCCATAGATCACACATTACGCTGTAGTGCAGTTCACAGTGAAATGGGCCATTGTTAACAGAAAATTAAAATTATTCTGCGGGCCGAATAGGATTGACACATGGGCCATAGAGGGTGTGTTCACTTATTTTCACTTAGAAAATCAATAAAACTTTCAAACTTTTGCACATAGGACTGTATTTTGTTGTTGAAGCTTGTGTAAATTTCTGTCACACACACTTTTGGCTTTTTTTGAGGCTGTGTTTCTGACTTTTGTCACTAAATGACAAAAAAAAAGTGGCAAAAATGTAACGGTGGGTTTTTCTTTCTGCAGTACAAGACTGTATGAACAACAACACTTCACCAAATTCAAATTCAAGCCCCCTCTTTTACTTACAAACACTACCCAAATATGGATTTGGATGGGAAAGCTTGCACTTTCTCCACACGTTTGAATGAGCTGAGGGAGAAATGGCTAATACTGCTGTTGTTATTGCTGGCGATTTCTAAGGGTTAGCAAACTATAGCAATTATCGTTAGCCACAGCCCCGGGCCGTATGTACCTACCAGTCCAGCTACAAGACTAGTGTAAGGAGCGCAAACAAACAGACGTGCGGATAGGCTGGGCCTATTCATCAGCAGCTCCAGCTTCAGTCAGAGCCTTTCACGCACCTGCCTGCTCGCTGAAAGAGCCGAAACCGATACCTCCACATAACGTCCCGGCCACCGGGCGGAAGGACAGAGCGAGAGCGAGAGTGAGAGCGAGAGTGCGGGAGGGAGAGAGGTAGAGAGAGAGAGAGAGAGAGAGAGAAACGATGACAAATGCAAAACAGACTGAAGCTCTCTGATCCAGACTGCTTATGTAGGGCCTTAAATCAATTTTACATGAAGGAAAAAAGCTGCGCAATGCTAATCTATCTGCCTTAATCCTATTGCTCCCAGATCCTTTGAAATCCACATTCTCTGCCTAATACTAAAACAAATAAAACCTCCTTTCTTCACTAATGAGCCTGCCCTTCAGCTCGCCTTTAAAAAAACACTCAAAGCAGGTTTTTTTATTTTTTATCCAGAGCACATTATTTTAATCCGTCGCTGGGCTTTTAAAGAGCGATTCGGCGGCGACAGGATTGACACTTTGCTCCTGAGTGAGAAAGCCATTCTTGTCTCTCCGAAATTGCCAATTCAGTTTTCATATCCCGGCCTCTGCTACAGAGATCATATTGTTCTGGAAGGTCTAAAAAAAAATCAAAAATAAAAAAATAATAACAGCCGTGCCTCCGAGCGCAAAACGTATTTTCTTCCGTTTTTTTCCCCCCGACAGGATCTGCGCTGCGAAATGCCTCAACTGTTTTTCTTCTTTTTTTCCCGCTCGGGCCGTGGCACGGAAGAGAAAAGGTTAAGGCAACGAACGAGCAAATGAGGGAAGAAGGAGGGGGGGGGGAGAAGGGGAAAAAAAAAATAGTCTGGTAGTTTCTCAACCATATGCCGATACCCTTAAGACACCATGTGCTCTGGCTTTGAAAGCTTTCGCTGCCAATTCCCCCCGTTTGAAACCTGATTCACTCGGTAACAATACCTCTCTGAAAAGCACGAGGAGAAAGGAGGGGGGTGGATGGGGGGCTTGAAATCCATTATCGATCTTAGCTTGTTTTGGGAGGAAGACAGGAAAACATGACGGAACGGACTCGTACCAGACAATGGTCTCCGAAGTCATGAGACAAAAAAAGAAATAATCTAATGACAACCTCTACAACCACATTAGTGCGGAGCAGACACCGACACTGACAAGCAATTATAACCCAAGCAGAAACCTCGAAAAACTGTAGAGGCGAACAGCACAAAAACAGCTACCTGATCACCAGAGCCATATCGCCCCTTTTCCAATATGACTAAAACAGGACTTTAAACCCATTCATCTGGGGCAAAATGACCAAAGCAGGACACTAAACCCATCTAAAGCAAAATGACAAAAAAAATGGGACTCTAAACCCATCTATATGGGGCAAAGTGACCAAACCAGGACTCTAAACCCGTCCATCTGCAGCAAAATGGCCAAACCTGGACTCTAAACCTGCCCATCTGGGGCAAAATGACCAAACCAGGACTTTAAACCTGCCCACCTGAGGCAAAATGACTAAACCAGGACTCTAAACTCATCCATCAGGGGCAAAATGACCAAAAAAAACGGGACTCTAAACCCGTCTATCCGGGATAAAATGACCAAAGCAGGACTCTAAACATGCCCATCTGGGGCAAAATGACCAAAGCAGGACTCTAAACCTGTCCATCTGGGGCAAAATGACCAAAACAGGACTCTAAACATGTCCATCTGGGGCAAAATGACCAAACCGGGATTCTAAACCCATCTGGGGCAAAATGACCAAACCGGGACTCTAAACCTGTCCATCTGGAGCAAAGGTCTCAAAGATCAAATTATGCAGAAAATTTGAAAATCAGTTGAACTCTAAGTTTGCTCAGTCTTGTTGATGCAGTTTGGAGCAAGTATCACTTACTGTGAGCAATAAAAATGGACAAAACTTCACTGAGCCCTTTCAGACAACACCAAGGCTGATATTCACAAAGCAGGACTGATCTTGGATCAGATTCCTCCATATTTATGACAATCACTGTCATAAATATTGAGCGTAGATCGGCGCTGCTGCTCCTGAGGTGGTTTATGAATACAGACCCTGTTGTCTACAGTGGCTGCCTGCAGTTCTGTTCATTTTTATAGTTTACAGTAAGTCATACTGTCCCCTAAACCACATCCACAGGTCTGCTCGACCTTTCAAAGAAGTTTTGGTGATAATTTGCTAGCCTCTCAGCTCCAGCACTAAACTAAAGAAGCAAAATTTGGACTCCAAACCTGCCTTGGCTGATAGTCTACAAGAACACAAAGAACACAGAACCCAACAAAACCAAACAGGCTTATAATAGAACCCAACGAGAAGGTGCTTCAGCAACTGCCTATTGCCATCCATCATAAATATGGTGAGACTCAGAGAGATGTCAAAATTACTGCCAGTTCTAGTTGACTGTACACTACAGATATGTAAGACAGAGCTTACACTGAAAAACACTGAAGGACTCCTTTAAGACTACTACAAAACAAATATGTAAGATATGTAACCATAACAGTGGGCCCACACTGACCCTTAAGGTCTGATCTATGGTCGTCAACAACAAGCAAGACAAACAGAAGTGGCCCCGGGTCACGAACGCTGAGATTCAGATGTCCAATATGTGTCTCTCATCACAGGAGGAAGAGTTCAGCAGGGCTTTTTATCACAGCTAAAGCAGCTTTCAGACAGCACCAGCGGCCAGCTGAACACGCGCTGAACGAACGCTGAATGAACGCAGTCTTACCTTAGGCTGAGCACGTCGAGGGAAGGCCACTTTGGGATCGATCTGTGTGCAACAAGGAGAGAAAAAGAAGGCTGCGTAAGTACAGTATGAAAAGCAAAAACAACAAACAACAACAGTAGTAATAGAAATGATAAAAACAAGAAATAAAAACAATAATATCATAAGTAATATCATCACAACTAGAGCAGAAAAAATGCACTGATGCATCCGGACATTATACTGAAGGTGATTCAACTACATCAATTTTAAAATTTTTAAATCTACTGATTACAACCAATAGAATAATACTATAAAATGTGTGCTCATTTTGGGAATAATCAAAGGGGAATTAGACAAAATTTTCAAATTTTTGCAGAATTTAGTCATTGAAATTTAAACAGTCAGAGTGATTTGATGGACCTCATTTGCAGAGAAACTTACAGACTCAGATTTCTTTACAGTGGTGGTGATGGGAACCAGGGGTCACAATGTCAACCGTGCAAATATAGTCATTTTACTCACTATACCAAAATATATGTATGGAATAACGTTCTTTGAGGGAGCATTGAGTCATTGAACACGTCAGACGTCTGGTTCCTATCACCGCCACTGTGAACAATTCTCTCTAAGTGTCTCTAGAATAGCATTTCACACCAAACCACTCTGAATGACTTTGTTCACATCTGAATGACTTAATTAAATTTTGAAAAATTGGTGGAATTTCCCTTTGAGATTCTTGGGCTGTTTTCAAACATAATCCATATTTCCATTGTCCATATTTCACTACTGTATAAGCAGGTTTTCCAGTTACATTTATGAATTCAGTCCTTTTTAAAATATTAAAATAATCCAACTGAACTGCGCTGAAATTTGAGATTTCGTGATGCATGATGAGTTGTTTGATAAAGAACTGGCATCAAATCAAAGTGTCAACAGAGGTTTATGCACCTGACAACAACAACAACAACAACAACAACAACAACAACAACGATGATGACAACAATCAGTAATAGCAGTAATTACAGATAACAGGTATCTGTGATATATAAACAGAAAAAAGACTGAATGATCCAGTCCTGTAACAAATCTAAAATACTTGCACACTGGCTCACACTGTGATGTTGTTAGCTGTGTAGTTCTTCCTGTGGGGGTATGAGACTGTTTGAGCATGATAGCTGACTTTCAGATGCTCATCTTAAGTGCTTCAATTCAAAACAGCTCATTTTAAAGCTAAGTAGTTTTTAAAGGAGAAATACTGCATGTGTATCAGCCAATACTCAAGTTTTCAGTGTCAAAATTGTATCAGTGTTTCTGTTGGGCTGCAATCTAATCTATCTAATAATACCCAACCTTATCAGTCAACATTACCACCCACATTTAGCCCAAAATGTCTCAGGCTTGTCCTCAGACGTTCTTCTGCTGAGATCACGAAGTTTAAGGCAACGCTTAACACCAGGGCCGCTTATATGGAAACTTATGGATTGTATGAGGTTAAAACTTTTTTTCACCTCAAATTAGAGCTCCAAAACAGATAATAATGGAGCATCAACAGCTCGATTCTTCTATCACCAAGGATCTAGTGGGATCTGCTGATATGCAAAAATGCTTAATACAATTCAGTGTACCTGCATGCTTTGAGGGCAGACTGTTTTTCCTGTCCACTATTGACTAGCTAGCATTTACAGTAAGTCAGAGACCAGCCATCGTTTATTTTATTTCCAGTCAAAAAGGCATTTAAATACAGGTTATTCATTTTTCAGCATCAGAAAACATATTTAACAGAAGACAACACAGAAGTCTATGGAACCCCTGAAGGGATGTAGTGTATTTATTTCTTAGGTAAAAACCTGGTGCGAATCAGACACTATATGGTGAGCACCCCATACTATCCGGTGTGCACCAAAGGCTATCAGGTGCACACCAGATACTGTGTGGTGAGCACCCGATACTACGCATAGTATCTAGTGGGCACCTGATAGTATTTAGTGCGCACCTAATAGTATCTGGTGCTCACCTGATGCTATCTGCTTCTCAACACATAGTACCCGGTACTCACCTGATAGCATCTGGTGCTCACATGATAACATCTGGTGCACACCTAATAGTATCTGTACCAGATGCTTTCAGGTGTGCATCAGTTGCTATCATGTACACACCAGATACTGTGTGGTGTGCACCCGATACTACACATAGTATCTGGTGTGCACTTGAATAGCATTAGTAGTATCTGGTAGTATAGGGTGCTCACCACATATCTATTGCTCACTTGACAGTGTCCAGTGTGCACCTAATAGTATCTGGTGCTCTCCTGATAGTATCTGGTGCTCTCCTGATAGTATCTGGTGCCCACCACATAGTATCTATTGTGCACCTGACAGTGTCCAGTGTGCACCTAATAGTATCTGGTGGTCACCACATAGCATTTAGTGCGCAACTGACAGTGTCCAGTGTGCACCTAATAGTATCTGGTGCTCTCTTGATAGTATCTGGTGGTCACCACATAGTATCTAGTGCTCACCTGATAGCATCTGGTGTGCACCTAATAGTATCTGATGCTCACCTGATAGTATCAGGTGCTCACCACATAGTATCTGGTGCTCACCTGATAGCATCTGGTGCACACCTTAGTGTCTGTACCAGATACTTGCAGGTGTGCACCAGATTTTTACCTAAAGAAAAAAAACGTCTCTTAAGAGGCACTGCAGAGGTCCCATTAAGTAAATCTAAATTTTTCAGTATTTAGTGTTCCTCCTCCCTCAAAGATGAAAGCCTTAATTGCTGTTTTGGTGGACAGTGCTGGTGGTCCACCAGGTCTTGCAGGTGGTTGTTATGAACTTCTCTTTTAGAAACTTCCACTTATTTGCATCTCTCTCTTTTCTTGTGCAAGTGAATTATCTTGTATCCAATCTACTCAAAAGTATCTCCTGAAAAAGAATAACTTGTCCTTAATGTCCATTTTGACTGGCAATGAAATAATAATGAAATAAGAATAACAATGGTAATAATAACTCTTAATGCTTTCACTCACTGGCAGTTCTTTTACTACAGCGTGACTTTAAAAAGGCAGGAAAATGAAAGTGTTCTGCCGACAGCATGTTTAAAACAGACACAAACACAGAGATACGCACACATCACGCCTCACTGATAACAGCAGCGGGCTACAGGTACAACACTGTCTTTGGGGAGTTTGGGGACAACACAGAGAGATAACGCCACCAAAAAAATGACTCACGGATTCGCGATTGTTCTAAAAACTGAAAAATAAGAGAGGACATCAGATTTGGTCCAGAGCCAAGCTCTTTTTTTTCTTCCTCTGGTTTGTCATCTTGTTAATTTCTCTGTCTTTTTTTTTCCTCCTTCTGGTTAACTGGTACTGAGGCTTGCAGTGGGAGCCTTATCAATCTTGCATTTGGAATGAAGAGAAACTATTTCATGCACCAATGTCACGCTGCCTTCGCTCAGCTTTAATATACGGCTCTTTAAAAGAGAACTTTCAAACAATCTCATCCAGGCAGACGTAGCAGAGCTGGTGGGAAAGGAGGGGGTGTGGGCAAAACGTAAACAGATCGAAATTGTTCTCTTGCAGAAAATTACTTGTCCGTGTTCGGCAAGGCAAACGCTTTACGTCGTGCCGCCGTATCTCTCCCACTACGGACCGTGCTGAAGGTTTGCCTCCTGGGGGGTCCGTGCAATGCCATCAGGACGGTGTCATTACGGCGCCTACCGCATACAATATGCATCTGACACTTTGCATGAAACTGCTTTCCAGCGTGGCCTTTATGGAGAAGGTTCCACTCCATTCTTGTCATAATCACTTCAATGCATGACAAACAACAACCTGGTTTCTATGCTGGACTCAAGACACTTCACGTTTGAGGCCCACCAATGTAAGCTAGGGCCGAGTGGCATTGATAAAATTCAATATCACAATACTTCCCAAATATCTCGGACACTCCTTCACATTACTAAAGTTAATGTGATCAGTCTACCTATATGCTATAAGCTTAGCCTGTCTTGATTTGGAGTTTTGTTTCTAAATCCATGAATGTGTTTACATATACTTAATAACCCGATAACTACAGAAAATCAGATTTTGTCAGTAATCCGATCAACGCGTTTACATGCACTTGAGAATTTAGATAATGGGGAAACTCCGGGTTTACACGAGTCAGGCAGTAATCGGATTTCTGCTTTGTGACTGGCCAAACTCACAGAAAACAAAGTGGAGTAAACGTAATGTAAAACTCAAACTTAATGCCACTTTAAAAAAAAACTTTACCTGAAAATTTGAACATACATCATCTAGATGAAAAATATTTAAATTCTTCATTTCATAAAGCAAGTAGTTAGTTTCAGCGTCGCTCCAAAAGAGTTTTGCTGCCATCTCGCAGCAATGCTGCTCGCTTATTTCCATCTGTTTTCGCACATGTGCAGACTGAGAAATCGGAAAGAAATCAAAGTAATCTTGGGCAGTGCCTACATAAGCAGTATCCTCACCAGCCACAGGGCTGAGGTGGCTCCTCCTGCTCTACGGTGTCGGAGGAAGTCTGAGAAGCATAGAGAAGGCTAACCACCAAGCGAAAGCTAACTTTGCAAGCATAACAGAGCTCTACTCATCTGTCTGTTCAACCAGCATCCCCAGCAGTAAAGTGAATAAGAACCATACTTACTGTAAGACGTCACGTTATAAAAGACAAAAAATTATTTTAGTAAATGGACACTGTGGGTTGGACAACACTGTCTGGACACGTACAGCCTGTTTTACTAACTTCTCGGCACTTGCACTGTTTAGTTTTGGGAGTGTTGGTAGTGTTGGACTGACGAATGTCAATCACACCTGCTCATCAGAATATTAGGCCACACCCAGTCAGTTCTCAGACAGATCTGCTAAGTGATGTTCAAGCTTTTATTTTCTATATATATTTTTTAAACATCCAGCAAACTCTGGACACTCAATTTTCATTTAATACCAATATTTGCTATATTTTACATTGTATTTCCACAAGATTGCAAAGGTTGATGGATATCAAATACTCATACCAATTGCTCATCAGAATATTAGG